ATGATGAACTACAAATTGAAAATAGAGTCAATGGAAAGTGAGCCAAATTTCAACCAAAAGAAAGATGTGGTGAATAAATATGTGGAGTGATAATCAGCTTATTATCATTTTGCAATGCCAAGGAAACCCGCAATGAGATAACATTCTACAGTCATTTAATTTGCAAAAATGAAGAAATTTGGGACTAGTATGCGATGTAGAAGATATGATTCAATGGGATGTATGTTGTATTGTTGTGGGAAGTGTATATTAGTACAACTACTTTGGAAAATAATTTGGCCTTATCTAGTAATCTTGAAGATTCACATAACCTCAATTCATAGTTTCAACTCCTAGATACATACTCAGCAATGGTGGGCATGTGTACATCTGGAATTGTGTACCAGTCTTTGTGGCAGACTTTCAGTAATACTGAAAATGTGGAAATACCCATAAATCTATCAACAACATCAGCTGTGAAGCACCAGCGGGAGCACTGCCTGAGCCCAAAGAATGTACCTCAATACACAGGAGCTATAGACTTGAATACTGGAGTTCTAGAACAAGCAGTTCCAGAGAGAGAAGGTGAGCATTTTAGTTATTCTGTGATGGGAAATAATTCACGAAGAATGTCTGAGAAGGTAGATTTCTCTAGTAACTTGAAAACAGATTCTTAAAAATTTTGGTGAAAATTTCATCTCAAGTTTGAGATCTTGTATTTTTTTTTTTTAGTTAGTAGAAATATGGCTGCCATTTATTATTCATTTGTTCATTCCTTCATTATTTCTCGTGGGTCAATTTAATTCTCAAAACAATGATATGTAGTCCTTTTTTGAAGATAAGAAAAATTGAGTCTGAGGACGGTAAATAAGTTATTTCAAGGTAGGAAAACATATTCCTGGTACTGCTTAGATTGGAGGCTGAGTCTGTGTTTATGTGATGTCTAGGTGCTTTAAGTTGTCTTTGCTCCTCTTTCTTTTAAAAAAATTTTTTTAAAGTTTATTTCTTTATTTGGAGAGAGAGAGAGGTGGGGAGGGGGGAGAGAGAGAGAGAGAGAGAGAGAGAGAGAGAGAGAGTGAGAGAGAGAGTTCTAAGCAGACTCCAAGCTGTCAGTGCAGAACTGATGTGGGGCTCAATCCCATGAACTGTGAGATCATGACCTGAGAGGAAATCAAGTCAGACACTTAACCAACTGAGCCACCCAGGCACCCCATCCTTTTTTAGTCAGTTATAACTGTTTTTTTTCAGTTGCTCAATGCATTTTTACTATTCTGCTCGAGTAATTTCCACCTACTTGATCATGACAATGAAAGCATACAGTCAATTTGTCTTATACATTTGGAAAAATAATTGATTGTACAGAACCACAAATACTCTCACTGAGATCTTGTTCATTGTTCATGTTCACCCAATGATATAGTCTGGCTCAATCTTCTCTCTTATGTATCTAGTCTAGACCTTGGGTAATGTTTTTCTGGCTTCAACTTCAACATCACTTCCTTGAGAATACCTTCCCTGAGCATTCCACCTCCATCCCAGTTTAAAGCATGTTCCCATTACACAGGCATATGGCACTGTGTTCTTTTTTATAATGCTCACCACTCTCTCCCTCTCTTCATTTTTTAATAGTTGAATTCTTGCATATGAGAGCAGATACACTAGCTGGGCTGTGAAGGCAGATTTGTCTTCTGCCACTACTCACATCTGATCCTGTGTAAATTACCTATACTCATAATACCTCAGTTTCCTCATTTGTAGAATTAAAATAATAATAGTGCCCATCACAAAGGGTACCTTGTATAATGTGTTGGATACAGGACCTGGCATATAGCATTCAATAGTTAGTTATTGTCATTATTATTATTGAACAATACTGTGCCTGGTATATTTTAGCTGTTCCACGAACATTTACTGGACAAAACAAAACAAAACAAAACAAAAAAGGAAATGTAGAATCCACCTTCTGCCTGTAGCCTGATAATTATCCTATTCCTGTAGATGAATTCTAACCCTTGTCAAAAATGTGGTTCTGTAGTCAGAGGGACTATAGGAGGAAGGGAGAAGCATTTAGCTGCCGTTTTGGCAAGGACTCCTAAAATTAACTACTCTTCCCTAGGGGAAATAGCGTAGAGGTTGAGTCACTACTTAAATCAAACTGGTGCCTGTCTTGTGAGAACTGAAGGAGTTGAGAAGCAGGGCATTTCTTAGCAGAGCGAACCACAAAGGCAGTGCCTCTCCCTGACTACATCTGTGGTTAGCCACGGGGAGCTGGTGAAATGATGTGAGAAAGTGGATGCGTCCCAAAGACCAAAGTATGTGTGGCTCAGCACTGAGTATAGATGCTCTGAAAAAAAGGCTCAGAAGACTAGGCTTCAAGAGATTCCTCATCTCAGAGACTTCTAGTCAACTGCTGATGTTTTGGTAATTGGATTTACTTTTCTGGCTTTAAAAATGGCTGCCATGTTCTTAGGGCCTGTAAGTCTCACACCAAGTTCTATAGAAAAAACTTAAAACAAACCCTAAAGATAGATTTATGTGAATCCCACAGAAATAGAAATGTGCTAAGCTGCTGAAAATCTCCTCTCCAAAATCCAAATTCCTCTCAAATACAAAGTGAGTGTGTCTACTATCTGAGATAGTTTGTTTTCTGAACAAGTCAGGCCATGGGGAGAAATCCCAGTCATACACTACATGGGGAGTGTTGGTATGTAAGAGAAGCACATTTTCTTCTTTTTGATTTTACTTCAAGATTTTCTTTTCTGGAAACACTGTGCTTGTTTGTTCGTTTTTTCAAACAGTAAATTTACATAAATTAACATGACCATTACTATGGTTTCTTACATCTCTGTTTGAAGAAAGCCCTTCAGTTTAAGTATTGTTGAGTCTGCAAAGGACCAGCTCTTGACAAGACTGTAGTTTACAACCCTCAGCACTGAGTTAGGCAAAAATAACTTTTTTTTCTGACCAGTTTGTATGTCAGGACTTACTGATTTGTTGGCATTTTTCTCTGATGTTGATCCTAAGGGCCATAATCAGCAGATGAGTTTGATAAAAAGTTCAGATTTCAAGTGCAGTACTTGTTGGAAATATTACAATATACTTACCAAAGTCTTTCTTAGATGACTTTGTAGTGTGTCCGCTTTTCTCCTCTTGCCTTTTTTCCTCTTTTCCTTTTTGGTTTTATATTTTCTCCTCTTTATTTCTCTTCCCTTTCTCTCTCTACTTCCCCTTTGTTGCTCTCTCTCAAATGCTTTATAATACCTAATATTAGCTATCACTGTGGGTATAAACTTGAATAGGTCCTAAGACAAGTAAGACACAACAGTGTGCAAGGTATTTATTTCAATAGTGAACAACGTTTACATAAAGTTTCCTATTTCCTGGAAAAATCCATACTTGGTTGTAGAGTCAAGTTTGAGAGGAGTACATTATTTTAAGCTTAGAATATATCTTTAGCAAATCAATTAGTGAATAGACAATAAATCCCACAAATAAAGCAAGCCAACTAAACCAATAGTTGAAAATTTGTGTTAAAGTTTCTTCTAATCACTTGCTTTAAAATTGTTCTTTTTTAAATCTGATGGCTTTTCTTTTTGACACTTATCATGGTTTTGCTTAGTCTCCTGTTTCCTCTCACTTGGTTAGCTTACATTTTCAGAATCTTTGCCCTTTAGAGACGTTCAGAGACAATTTTGAAAGTTTTCTTTAGTGATACTCCCACGAGAACAATAAAACAATATTAACAACAATAGTAAATTTGAACTGATTGTATCTTCACAACACTCCTAAATATAGGTATATTTATTCCCTGCTTTAACAGATGAAAAAACTGAAGCACAGAGAGATGAAATAAATTGATGTTATGTAGTTAATAGGGGTGCATTCCAGTTTCCAATCTAAGTCTTTGGATTTTATTTCATTTCATTTTATTTATTTTTTTATTTGAGAGAGAGAGAACATGAGTAGGGGAGAGGGGCGGAGGGAGAGGGAGAAGGAGGGAGGGAAGGAGGGAGGTAGAGAGAGAGAGAAAGAGAGAGAGAGAGAGGGAGAGAGGATCTTAAGTAGGCTCCATGCTCTGTGCAGAGCCTGATGTGGGGCTCGATCCCATGGCCCTGAGATGGCAGCCTGAGCTGAAATCAAGAGTTGGATGCTCAACCAGCTGAGCCACCCAGATACCCCTATGTCTGGATTTTAAACCCATTTCTCTTTGCTCTTTAATGCATTTCTACTTTGTCCTTTCTCATTTATTTCTCCCTCTCTTTCTTTTGCCTCTCTTTTTTTTTTCCTTCTGCCTCTCTCAGTGAATGCTTTATGAGTGTTTACTTTTTAGCCAGCATTGGGAATACAAAAATGAGAATAAGATTACAATTGTGAAGGCACATTTTTGCCTTCAAAGACAATTTGCCTGTTGAAGAATGAGAGAAGAGTATGAGACAATGTGGCTAGTGCCGTAATGACCATTTACTAGCTTCTCTGAGATTGGGAGAAGGTAGCAATGCCATTTTTAGTCTTGAGGAAGCTGAAAAGTTTCCAGACAGGTAAAGTAGGATAAAGTATGGCTTGTGAAAGAATCTTTACGTGTCTTTGAGTCTTTTTTTGTAAACTCAATTAGAACAAATTGGATTTTCACTGGTAAACGGGTGCAGCCATTTTGGGGATAAAATACCTATATCTTTGGGTATTTTGAATGTGCCTCATGTATGGCTACATCATGGATTGGCTCTTCCAAATTAATGCATGGTATTTTTTCTTTTCTGATTTTAAAGGTTACACAATCTTGTAGAAAATTAAAACAAATCAGGAAATTATAAAGAACAAAAAATACCACCTATATTGTCACTTGTAAGAATATATAAAATGAAATCATTGACATGGTCTTGTGCTTGTTTTTGCCTTCTGTAAAACTAGAAAAAATAAGGCATTCCATGAATATTCATTAGAAGAAGGCATCATTATTGAGGATGACTTTGAGTATGAGTATGACTTTCTTTTCAGGGAAGTCACTTGTCACCTGAACTGAACTGATGAAGAAGATGAATAATGTGACAGAATTCATCCTCCTGGGCTTGACTCAAAACGTGGAACTTCAGAAATTCTCCTTTTTTGTGTTTTTAATTGTCTACTTGGTCACCTTGGCGGGCAACTTGCTCATCATGATCACCATCAGTACCAGTAGTGCCCTTGAAACCCCCATGTACTTCTTCCTGTCTTACTTGGCCCTTATAGATGGCTGTTGTTCTTCCTCCATGACCCCTAAAATGCTCGCTGACACTCTTACTGTGAGAAAAATCATCTCTTTTACGGGATGTATGACTCAAGTCTTTGCTGAACATTTTTTTGGTGCTGCTGAGATTATCCTTCTCACAGTAATGGCCTATGACCGTTATGTGGCCATCTGCAAACCCTTGCATTACACAACCATCATGAGTCACCAGGCGTGTGGCCTCCTTGTAGGAGTGGCCTGGGCTGGAGCCTTTGTCCATGCAACCATTCAGATCCTCTTCACAGTCTGGCTGCCTTTCTGTGGCCCCAATGTCATAGATCATTTCATGTGTGATTTGTACCCTTTATTGAAACTTGTCTGCATGGACACTCATACCCTTGGTCTCTTTGTTGCTGCCAATAGTGGGTTCATCTGTTTGTTAAACTTCCTTCTTTTGGTGGTTTCCTATGTGGTCATCTTGCTCTCCCTAAAGACCTATAGCTTGGAGGGGAGACGCAAAGCCCTCTCTACCTGCGTCTCTCACATCACCGTGGTCATTTTCTTCTTTGTGCCCTGCTTATTTGTATATCTGCGCCCAGTGATCACCTTTTCCATTGATAAAGCTGTGGCTGTGTTTTATACCATGATAACTCCTATGTTAAACCCTTTAATCTATACGTTGAGAAATTCAGAGGTGAAAAGTGCCATAAAGAAGCTCCGGATCAAAAGGTGACTTCAATGGAAAAATAATCACAACAGCATAAAATCACTTCATATTTTATTTTATTTTATTTTATTTTATTTTATTTTATTTTATTTTATTTTATTTATTTTTTTTTAACGTTTATTTATTTTTGAGACAGAGAGAGACAGAGCATGAACGGGGGAGGGGCAGAGAGAGGGAGACACAGAATCTGAAACAGGCTCCAGGCTCTGAGCTGTCAGCACAGAGGCTGATGCAGGGCTGGAACTCATGGACTGCGAAATCATGACCTGAGCGGAAGTTGTCTGCTTAACCGACTGAGCCACCCAGGCGCCCCATAAAATCACTTCATATTTTAAATGACAAAAAGAAAATAATACAATTTCTATGGTTCAGGGCCAAGTGGACATTATATATAAAAGTATGTTGATGTTGGCACATAAGTCCTAAGAAGAAAGGCCCAGGCAGGAAATCATTTATCATTTAAAAATATCCCATTTAGGGTCGCCTGGGTGGCTCAGTCAGTTTAGCGTCCGACTTCAGCTCAGGTCATGATCTCATGGTTTGTGGGTTCAAGCCCTGCACCGGGCTCTGTTCTGACAGCTCAGAGCCTGGAGACTGCTTTGAATTCTGTGTTTCCCTCTCTCTCTTTCTGTCCTTCCTTTGCTGGTTCTCTGTCTGTCTCTCTCTCTGTCACTCAAAAATAAATAAACATCAAAAAAATATCCCATTTAGATTTATTTATTGGTCATTTGGTTGTCAAACTTTACTTACTTTCAGAATCAGCTGGAATTCTTGTTAAAATGCACATTTCCAGGATACAGCTGTAGTGATTCTAATTCAATGGGAATGTTCTTGAATTGCATTTTAAACAAATTATGTGGATGTTTCTAAGCAGGTGATTTATACATACCCTTTGAGCAACAATGCTATAGATTATGCTTGTATCATCAGCTTATTAATGGATGATCTTGTTAAAGCAATTCCTAGGAAGTAACGAAACTAAGTTCTTCGTAAGTCATGAAATACAAGCTCACTACCTTTGTAACTGCAAAACAAAAATGTAATACTCTGTGAAGATAGAAAAGCTCTCCATATTCTTTATCTTCACTTTCAATACTTTCAAATCTTTTCCTACATCTGATCTGATTCTCTCTTTTCCTCTCTTGCTTCCAAAGGGAAGGCCTACTATCTATTCTTACTGAATTATTTGGATTACAATTCATTGTTCTTGTAATACTAACTAGTCATTTACATCAAGAACATTATTTTCATGATTTTTCTATATGAAGGAGATCTTATGTATCATTTCTATATGTATATTTGGAGGTATGTTATTGTCATTAAGAAAATAGTCTCTAAGTAAGATAGTTCTGAGATCAAAACTTACTTTTGCCACATACAATGTGGACTTCAGCAAACTACAATTCTTTGAGTGAAAGGAGAGTGATAGAGATATTATCAAGGTTAATAACGAATCCTTGTAGATCTTTTATTACCAATCACTTCTCAATAGGTGTTAGTCATGAAATTTATTACTGGAGTCACTATAACAGTACAGAACCACTTAATCTATTTTTTGAGCATCAGAAAGGATAATACATTGTTTCTTTGTACCTTCTGTGAAGTATAGTACTCTGAGCTCACTGGCCTTGTAAAATTCTGGGGGGGCTGGAATGCTTCCCAACATCCTTGGCTATTACTTTCCCATACTCTTCTATTTTTCTTATTTCTGTTGGCCTCATGCTTCCTAGACCTTGGGGCCGATCCATTTATGGGTATGATTTTTTTTTTTTCTGACAAGTCTGACTTGAAGAGCCACACAGTCATTGTTTTATGAGCCCAAGGTCAGTATAGCGGGCAACCAGAATATGAACAGAATTAAGTGAGATATTTAATTGAGATATTTGTTAAGAGTAGATGGTATGGTAGGGTGGTGAGGGTAGACTCCAGAGTACATTTCCTGGGCGGAGTGTGACCTGGGAAAGTTATTTTACCTTTCAACGGTATTTTTTTTTTCTGTAAAAAATGGAAACAATAACACCCATTTCATAAAGTTTTGGGGTCTTCTAAGTGGGATTATATATGTTAAGTGCTTATGAAAGTTCATGGCACATAGGAAACATTATAAAAGTATACTGCAAAGAAAAAAATTCACTGGTGATGATCCAGTTTTTAATACAGATAGAATTTTGCTTCTCTCTCTTCCTGAACTAGCAAGGCCCTTGTTATGTCTGGGACAGGACCTCTATTGATCTTACCTTGGTTCCTGTCTCCTTCGTGAAAAAGACATCTTGTATCATCAATACTATGTCAGATAACTTTTCCCTTGAACTTTAGCTAAGAGTGTTATTGGCTTTTAAGTTATTATTCAGCAGCTGGAAGTCACTAACACTTTAGTGACAGTTTTGGGTGATGTGGGAAGATTTGGCTTATAGAGTGGAGAGAATTAGTATTGAATTCTATCTTGTTAGTTTATGTAACATTGTGTGAATTTCACAGCTCTCAGAATCTTATTTTAATCTTTGTTCACATGTACAGTGAAATGGTAACATTTTTCAAAGGGTAGTTTTAATCATTAGTTGAGATACTGTATGCCAAGTATCTAGTGGGTACTTGTCACTCAGTGGGTACTTAATAAATGTCGCTGTCTTTGATGCTCCCTCACTTCTTTGTTTGGGTCCTATTTCTGCCTGATTTAAAAAAGCCCTCTGATTTATACATATTATTGAACTCTAGGTCTTTCTATTAGGTCATGAGGCACTTTGAAAATTCTAAGAATAAAGCCCTCAAAATTAATGCAAGATGGATGAGATTAACTCTCTAAAAAAAATTCACCTTAAAAATGTGAATGTCTCCAAAGGCACAGTTAGGTTAAGGAAGACTCCCAAATTTAATAAACTTTTTATGACCAACAAAAAAATCTGTAGGACAATAATTAGTAATTGTAGTAAAAGCGATTGCTACTTATTACGATATGGCTGGTGCTACAAAGGCAAGTTACTGTTTACTCCCCTAAGATCCCTATGAAATAGATAATGTTATTCCTGCTTTCCAGGAGAACTGAAGTGTGGAAAACTGAAATAATTTACTGTAGGTCGCAGAACTAGAAAATGCCTGAGGTGGGATTTGAGCCTGTGTAGTTTGGCTTTAGAACTTGCACTCTTAAACACTGTGGCATACATCATAATAATGACACGGATCTCATAACACTTTCTAGTGGAGGGACATAGGCGATAAGTAAGTTAATGTATATATAAAAAGTTTCGTTCAAGGAGACAAGTGCTTAAAAATGAAAGGATGTGAGGTGATAGTGCCTCAGAAGGCAAGGGACCTCTAGGTTTCGCATTCAAGGAAGACCCAAAAGCAAGATTTTACAGCATTTATCTATGTCCAAGAGTGAGAGACAGTGAGCTGAAGATCATGAGTAAAACCACCAGAGAGGAATTTCTGTACACGGGAAGGAGATTTTTATCTCACACGGATGAGTGTCCTTAACAGCTCTCTTCTGACTCAGAGATCACCAAGCGACCTTAACCTTACAATTAGTTCAGCTCTAATTAAAATCAGGATGAAGTGAAATAAAATATCGGTGCTCGAGCAACCATCTTTTCCCAGAACTTGCATGTGCTCCCTGGAAGGTGTCTACTCTGGTGGACTCTGTGGTATAGCCAACAGCATGGATCTCCACTTTTTCTCCTCCTTGTTTCTTTAACGTCTACAATTTTTTTCCCATGTGAAAGCATTTGCTTAAGTTGTACAGCTCTGTACAATCGTCCAGCCCAAACACCTCTCTGTGACCCTCTCCTGTATCGATCGTTCTTTCCCTTGTCACCAGCTTCAGCTGCAGTGGCCTCATTTTTGCCTATGGGCCTTTGAACTAGTTCTTTATACCCCAAGGGCTCTCTCTCTGGACCTTCCTCTGCCTGGATTGTTGTCCCCACTCAGTCTGCAACTCAACTGCCACCTCCTTAGAGGTCTTCTTTAACCACCACGTAAAGACACCATCTCCCTGAGTTGTTCTATGACGGCACTCACAATTTCTCTACAGCATCTTCGCCATCCGATTATCCGATTCACCTGTTGATTCTCTTTTCCAATTAGAACATAAACTCAAAGTAGACGTGTATTTCCAGCACCCGGAATAGAAGTGTCACACAGTAAATGCTTCATACATACTTACTGAATAAAAGGCCATCATCTCCACTTAACCCTTCTAAGAATAAGTGCGTTCTTAAAAGGAACCCTTGTCAACTGGAAGCTCCCGGAATTGATGACTTTTCATTCTTGGTGATAAATTGAAATGGAGAACTTTAGGTCAGTTTAATATATCAGCCGGGGGTTCTTAGCTGATGATGCAGAACCTCTGTAGCTGGCTTAAGTAGAAGGGATCTATGATACGTACTTAAATAGCTTAAGGATATTCGGAGGAGTGGGAATCACAGATTCTAGGTTGAGTTATCAGGAATAGCTTCCGGAAGCACACCTGACTGGACTGGCATGCCAGGGGAGCTGCTGCTTGTGCTGTAACCAAGGTTGCCCTGCCCTGGCTAGACTGCAGTGTGGTACTTCATTCCTGACCTCAGAGCCACTCTGATGCCTGGAACCACTTGTCCCCAGATAACTGACTTCCACTCAAAGACTTGCACAGATGCACCCGGTTGGCAGAACCCATGACATGTCTGCACCCAAGTGCAGAGGGACAGGGAAATGGAGTTCTTCGGATTCTATCTTGGGAACGTGGATACATACTTTGGAAACTAACACGTGCAGGATGCTTTTAAGAGATTTTTGGGCAGCCACACACTCTGGGTGTTTACAGTTGGGGTTGGGAGATCACAAAATGGGTTTCATTCCTCCCATAGATAGTTTTAAATGTCCACAAAATTAAAGGGTGTCCTAGTCTCTGTCCTACACAGAGGAGAAGCAGAGATAAAGGACCGCAAGGAAGTTGAGAGCAGGAAAATTGTTGGTACCATAGAGTTATTCATATGACTTATTTTTACTGAACACCTCCTCTGCTAATAACTGTGGTTGCTGCTGAAGTAGAAACACAAATGGGTAGAATTGTCCTTAACCTTGTGGCATTAGCATAGCACAGCATGTGGCTCAGTAGCACTTCTCAAATACCTCTTCTACCTTAATTTTGAAGGAAGCTCTCCTCAATAATACACAAAAATGCTTGTCTTGCTTTAGTGACTCTCATCCTTTTAAAAAGCCGCCTGAAAATGTATTGTGGACTATCATGGATCTGGCACCATGTGAAGCACTTTGCATACATTATATCATTCAATCATCATAATTTCTTGAAGTTCATATTATTCCTTTTATGTGAGAGGGAAAAAATAAAGCTTAGAGATGTTTAATGTCCTCAAAAGTCATGCTACTGTTAAGTAAGAAGACTAATCCTCGTCCCCTCTGTCCAACATATTGGGAATTCTGTTGAAAATGCACAGTTGGCCAGGTTTAAAATGGTGAGCTCATTCCATTGTACCTCATATCTCTGTTTGGATCTTGGCTCCAAATGCAGGCCCCCAGGTCATCCAGCTTATCCACATGCATTTGCGTGCTTCCTCTTCCTGGACAAAGGTCACGTTGAAACAAACTTTGTTTTTAGAAAAGTTTTCAGTTTACAGTTTACAGCTATGTGAGCAGAAAGTATGGTGAATTCCCGTATAACCCTTGTCCCCACATATTCAAATTCCCCCCACTATGGACATCTCACCTGAGAGCGGTTCATGTGTTACAACTGATGAACCTTTAGTGAAACATTAGTATCACACAAAGTCCATACTTCACGCTAGGGTTCCCTCCTGGTGCTATTCATTCCATGGGTCTCAACAAATGTATAATGACATGTATCCACCATTACAGTATCGTACAGAGTAGTTTCACTGTCCTAAAAATTCTTTCTGCTCTGCCTATTCACCCCACCCTCTCCCCCAACTTCTGGCAGTCATTGGTCTTTTCACTAAGTTTATAGTTTGCCTTTTCCACAGTTTTGCATAGTTGGAATCATACAATATGTAGCCTTTCGAGAGTCTTTCATTTAGTAATCTACATTTGAGTTTCTTCCATGTCTTTTCCTGACTTGATAGCTTATCGTTTTAGTGCTGAATAATATTTATTGTCTGGTCGTGCCATAGTTTACTTTTTTCTTCCAAGATTGTATTCAAATTCAAGTTAGGTCACATATAGTGTAGTACTGGTTTCAGGCATAGAAATGACATATTTATCCACTCACCTACCGAAGGGTATCTTGGTTGCTTTCACGTTTTGGCAATTATGAATAAAGTTGCTAGAAACATGTGTAGGTTTCGTTTCTTCTCAGCTTTATTATGATATAGTTGACATATAATATTTTATAAGCTTCACATGTACAATGTGATGATTTGGTACATGTATATATTGTGAAATTATTACCACAATGAGGTAAGTGAAAACATTCACCACCTCACATAGTTACTTTTGTTGTTGTTGTTGTTTTTTCGTGAGAACGTTCAAGATCTACTCTCAAGTATATAACACGGTATTGTTAACTCTGGTGCCAAACTGATTATTAGATACTGAGAATTTATTCATCTTAAACTGAAAGTTTATGCTTTTTGACCAACACTCCCCCCTTTCACTACCCCTAGCTCCCACCAACCACTGTTCTACTCTCTGATTCTGTGAGTTCAACTTCCCTTCTTCCCTTTTGAAGGATAATTTCACAGAGCACAGAATTTTAATTTTAATTTAATTCCTTGTCTGGAATTTCAACTTCCCTTCTTCCCTTTTGAAGGATAATTTCACAGAGCACAGAATTTTAAGCTGGTGTTGTTTTTTTCTCGCTCTCAACTCTTTAAATAGTTGACTCCATTCACTTCTTTCTTGCGTGGCCTCTGAGGAGAAGAAGTTGGATGTAGTTCATTCCTCTTCTCCTTGGGGTGGTGGTCCCAGCCTATTGACAGAAATGTTATTGCCTAGGAATGCCTGTGGCACACATCTGGGCCTGTATTGCTTATAGCAAGTCCCCACAGACATTTCCCCCGCTGAGGCCAGAGTTGTGGCTGGATTGGCCCTTGTGGTTCTTATTATGATTTCAGGACACACTTCACTGCGGCAAAGACGATCAGGGAACTTTGAGGAACAAGATTTTTTATGCACTGGTCCTGGAGCCTCCAGGGCATATCGAGGGCCACACCTGAGGAGGTTGTAGGTAGAGGGCAAAAGAACACAGACCTGGGGCTCTGCATTTATTAGGGTCTGGTGGAATGGGGTGGGTATCTAGGTTTCGTGGGTTCACTATTTATTGACTGCTTTAGAGCATGAGAGTGGGAATTAGAGGATGGAAAGGGAGAAGCAGGGCTACTCAAGTGGTCAGTTATTGAAGTTACCCAGAGCTTCCTGAAAGAGGGAACTTCATGAGTGGGGGTGACTTAATTCCTTGTCTGGTAGCTTTGTCATATAGCTGGCAATATGTTTACTCACGAGGGATGCCTTTTGAAATATGTCTTTGGCAATCAAAAACTTAATGTCAAGCACTTACACTATAATCAAAGAGCTTAATCTCTGGGATACTCACTCCTCTGTAGGTAAGATGTTTTTTCCTCTGGCCTCTGTCAAGATTTATAAGTTTATCTTTGATTTTCTGAAATTTGAATATGATTCCCCTCCATATGGTTTTTTTTGTTTGGCATTTGTCTTATGAGGTATTCTCTGAGCTTCCGGAGGCTTGGTGTTTGACATTAATTTGGGGGGGAAATTCTCAGTCATTATTATTGCTTCAAATATTGCTTCTGTTCCCTTCACTTTTTCTTCTTATTCTGGTATTCCCATTACAAGGATGTTACCCCTTTGGTAGTTGTCACACAGTTCTTGCGTATTCTGTTCTGGTTTCTTTGTTTTCTGCTTTTTGTTTTTCAGCCTGTTTTCTCTTTGATTTTCAGTTTGGGGAATTTCTATTGCCATGTCCTGAGGCAATGTCTAGTCTATTAATGAGCCCTGTCAAAGGCATACTTGATTTCTGTTAGTCTTTTTGATCTCTAGCATTTCTTTTCGACCCTTCCTTAGAATTTATCTCTTCTTACGTTATCCACCTGTTCTTGGCTTTAGTGACATAGCGGGGCAAGTGTTCTGTGGTGTATCACAGAGTGTCAGTCTTTGGGTGAGCCTGTGCCCTGGGACTGTATAGTTCACCAGGGTTTCTTGTCCAACTTCCCCATAATGTGATAGGTCTAAAAGTATCTTTACATAGAGATGTCCTTTTCAAATTTTAAAATTTGGTTGAAAACAGCAAGAATCAGTCTTGGACACAATGCAGTTGCACGACTCGATGATGTATCTGGTTAGAAGGCAAAAAGTGGCCAATGACTTTGCCTCTACTGGGGAGAAGATGCTACTTTCTTCAGAACTCTTACAACTCTTTTAGGAGGGTTGATAAATATTTCAAGAATGTCCTCTCGAGACCTTGGTACAATTAGTTTTGCCCTAGTACCAGAATAAGATGGCCAGAAAATTGGAATAGTGATTTTTCTTTTTTGAAGTCACTAGAAAAGAAGTTAGTTTCTAGAGAACAGCTTCCCTTTTAAAAAAACTTGTTGCTGACTTCTTATGTCAGATAGGTTTGTTTGCCATGATGAATTACCCTAATGTGGAAAATTTTTGTTTTTCTGTTTGCATCATGGAATTCCTTTTAAATAGGTCTACAATCAAGTAATAATAATTTTCTGAAGTGATTAGAATGTGTAGAAAATGGATGGACATAGTCATGTGAAGTCAAATTAGTTCTTAAGAACTAATGCAGATTTTGTCCTCAGTGGTCACACTGGATGGAAGAGGCATTTCCAGGACTTTATGAGTTAGTTAAAAAGTCCTCCCACTGATTGTGAACAAGCCTTCAAAAGGTAAGTCTGTAAGATTTAATGGAGGAAGCCAGGCTTTTCAATTGTGTGACTTACTTTATTATACAGGAAATTCTTATAAACTTGAGTTTGTAAAAAATTGAAAAGTTGGAAACTTCTTCTGGAATCACAGATTTGAAGTCAGTCAAAGTTTATAATTACATTCCTGTCACTGAAGGGTGTATGACTTTGAGAAAATTAAGTATTCAAGCCTGTTTTTTCAACTATAAAGTGGGGATAACAGTGCTTGTAATTGTAAAGAC